CATTCATCGCTCCGCTCAGAATCTAAAATGTTGTTAAATCAATACATTTATGTATTGTGATTTAAGTTAACAATCACTTATTTTTATCTCATTCCACATGATATCTTAGTCTTTGAATTAATCCATTATAAGCAAGTAATCAATATTTAAAAAATAATAGATAAAACATAATATGGTTTCTGTATTATAGATACCAAAAAATATGAATTTACAATACAAAAAGTATACAAAAGTATTTGTATTTATAATTCTTTGATTTTCATATAAACTTTAAATTATGCATATTATACTTTTGTATGCTTTACAAAATTATGTTGTCAAATTAAAAAAATAGTAAAAATGTTAAAAATTTAGTAGCCTTGAGTTTGGCAATGCAGCCAATGCTTTATTAGCTTTGCTGCTTTTACCAATTCCAAGTTTAGGTAATCCTCGATTTAATCCTTCTAACAACATACACGCTTTACAAATATCTTGACTTGACACAAATCCACATTTAGTACATACACCAATGTCTGGTAATTTTACATTCTCTTTAATACACATTGTTTCACCTAAAACATTAAAAATAATAGTTTTAAATTGTAGAAATCAAGAACATATTTATTTAATACCAGAATGTATTATATCCATAATAGATGATGGTTTTAATCTTTCTAAATCTTTTAAAAATGTTCTTGCATATCCTCGATATGCATTTGGCGCAAAAACACATTCAGTTGAAAAATAATTCAATTTCTTGAAATATGCATACATTACTATTTCTTTTTCATAAGTGTATTTTAATGGTTTGCATCGAGGGATTGTGCCTTCTGTTATCTAATAATAAGTGCATAACAATAAAATCTTTTACAATAATCATTTATATTAATGTTTTTAAGAGGACATTATACTCACATGTGTTGTATCCATCGTACAAGTGTGTAACATACCAAATTTTACGCTCAGCAAATCACGTTTGGCTCTGTGAGTTTAAAGTTTAGAGTGAATTGACCTGTTATAAAAATTAAAGGTAACATTATTATCGACAGCTTCTCATAGGCTTTTTATTATAATAAAGCAAATTATGAATATTTTTAGATATACAAACAATTTACAATTTTAAAATAGTCATAACTTGCTTTAAAATTAAAATATAAAGAAAAAGCCAATGAGAAGCTCTCAATAATAATGTTACCTTAAATTTTTATAACAGCTCAATCCACTCTAAACTTTAATTTCACAGAGCTAAATGTGATCTGCTGAGCATAAAATTTGCTATATTACGCACTTGTAAGACGGAGACAACACATGCAGGTATGTTGTCCTCTTAAAATAAGGATTTAATTCAATACATGCATTATTAAAGTAATATAGTATAACAATATTTTAGATATTAAACATTAATAAATAAAATAGAACATAGGCATAGGCGTGCGTACAGGGGGTGCCTGGGCACTCCCGGACTTTTCACACAAAACAGCAAGGGCCCTATAATAATAATTATTATTATTTAAGTGTAAATTTTAAACCTTGAAATTTTCAAGTATTATAAAACAGTATTAATATGCTTTTATTTTTACGAAAAATAAGAATTTCCTTCGAACAGAATCATGTGTTCTATAACATTATATATAACATTTTTTTTATAGTTATTAATAAGCTATAAATGGTTTACTCAGTTCGCTGATAATATTGCCGAATTTCATAGAATATTTTGATGTAATATTTATTTTATTACAATGTATAAAATAAAAAAAAATTATTTTTAGTGCATTTTATATATCAACACTTCCGGACCTCGGAGGATTAGCAACTTTTTTTGGTTAATCAGGAGCCTATAACCAAACTTTTTAAACGATTTAATTCCTCAAAATACAAATTTTGGAGCTTAAATGACTAGACTATTAGGTAATTAGTTAGTCCTGTTGGCTCACACTCAAGTATCATATCTTTCAAGATAATATGTGGAAATACTTACAGTAATGATATTTACACATCTTTGCAATCTTGCAACATCCCCTCGTAAAATGTTCATCAACACAGTTTCCGCAATATCATCAGCGTTGTGACCAGTAGCAATACAGTCAACATTTAATAAAGTTGCACCTCTATCTAAAGCTTGTCTTCTGAATACACCACAAAATGTACAATTATTCTTACGACCAACTTCAGCAACTATTTTGTCCATTGACCAACCATATAACTGTTCATATGATAATATTTTTAAAGGCATTTGGTATTCATCTTTATTTTCTAGTACTGTTTTCAAACTATCATCTCTATAACCTATTAAAATAACATACAATTTATGAAACAGTTAAATAATTTTTTATTCTTAATTTGTTGAAACAGGCACAAGTTTCAAAAAAAAAATTATTGAAAAATGTGCATGAACTTGATCTTTTTCAACTCAAGAAATAATAATTTCACTAACTCATACAAGTTATGGAAGTAGTAGTTTTTTGAGTGCTTAAAATTGCAAATAAAAATCATCTTATTAAGTAAAGACAGTTAAGACAAGAAAAATAGAAATAAAATTTACAACTATTGTTGTATCTTCCTTATTTCGATACTCTTCATAAAATTGTTATTTAATTTTAATTTTAAAATTTGATTTAATATCATAACATTAATAAAAGATAAACTAATTAACATATCTTACTACATTAAAAATTACATTAAGTTATAGTAAAATATAGGTAAATGTAATATAAATATTTAAAGTTTGTTTGATTGTATTAAATATTTACAATATTACCTGTGATTCCTTCATCTATAGACAATAATACTAATTTCAGTTCATAATTATAGCGTTCATTTAATGTCTTGAGAACATATGCTAGAACAGTTGAGTCTTTTCCACCTGAAGCTGCAATAGCAACAACATCACCTTTTTTGAATAATTTACCATTTGTGATAGTGCTATGAATTTCAAGTTCAAAAGCCCAATAAAAACATTCTTTACATAATGTATCTCCAGTTTTTGGACGCTGAAATATAAATATATTTATAAACCCTTATAAAAATAATAATTTTTAATAGAATTTAGTTTTAATAATAAATAATATTGAAAATCAGTAAGCTGATTGGTAATTATTATTTGTTTTACCTATTTATTATTACAGAGTAATTCTATATACTATTATTATTTATTATTATTTGTATTTATTTTACTTTTAGTACTGCATTCTGACCACATTTTGCAGAGCATAAGACAGGCATTTTAACTTTAAAAACTATAATAAGTACTATGCATAAGTATGTCTATAAAAATAACAACTAACAAATAATATAAATAACTGAGTAGTAACAATTAATACTTTAAATGAGTATAAAATGTTTAAAATGTTTTAATACTAAATTACTCATTTAGATACTATCACAGGTTATATAAAACCAGATGGTGCACTTCTTCGATTTATTGATAACACGAACCTCAAATCAGTAGGGTCACATAAGAGAAATAAATTAATGTACAACAACTTTTACCATAATTTTTAACTATCGTATCAAATAATATTTAATACATAATAATATAATATTATAT